GTTAGAAGTTGAAATTAGAATTGGGAGTGATGATTCTTGAAAGTCTAAACCTCGGAACTCTTTGTTGCAAGTAAGATGCAATCAGTTATGTATAATTAGTTAGAATCTTTTTTTCTCGTGTAAGTTCGCTGACTGGAACTGTTCTTTTGTGCTAGCTTCCTCTAGGGTTATGGTCAAGTTATTATTTCATACCAAACAAAGTTAAGTGCCCATACAAAATTTCTAAACTCCCGTTAATTGAGTTTTGTATCTTTAGACTATAAAAGTAAATTGAGTTTTGTATCTTTAAGCTATAAAAATTTTCAAGTCAGACACAAGATCTGTATCCATACTGGAGACTCACACGTAAATTGGGTACTGCCATAGGTGATGATGCCTAACAAGCTTGGAAAAAAATTTCTGTCATTTCTTAGTTCTTTTCTCATGTCACCTCAGTGAATGAAGAAATAGTTCTATTAGGGTCTTGTTTTTACACAACCCATGGACATAGGGGCATGAAATTCTTCTTTTCTCTTTTTTGTTCTTTTTAAGTAGAACTTGGATAAAATCTCTATAAGTGATAAAAGTCAATTTGGAATCTAAATCCTAGTTTTTGAGCTTTAATTCAATTTTCTTTTCTTTTCTTTTTTTTTTTCTTTAATCATGTTGCTAATATTGTAAAGAACCTTGAATTCATCATTTTCCGTTTTTTGGAGTTGTCCCATTACATCTAGAACTCCAAAAACATTAAAATCCCTTTTTAAATAATCAACTTTTTGATGCAACATTGACTCCTCTCCATATTGTTTGGGTTGAGTAATATAGGCAGTGCTGGTGATGTCCTAGAAGATGATCCTGTTGGGAGGTTGAAAGTTTTTGTTTACGAGCTTCCAAGCAAATACAACAAGAAGGTTTTACAAAAAGACCCAAGATGTCTGACCCACATGTTTGCTGCTGAGATCTTTATGCATCGATTTCTTTTATCCAGCCCAGTTCGAACTCTAAACCCTGAGGAAGCTGATTGGTTCTACACACCTGTGTATACAACCTGTGATCTGACTCCTAATGGTCTTCCTTTGCCCTTTAAATCACCAAGAATGATGAGAAGTGCAATACAGCTTATTTCTTCAAACTGGCCTTTCTGGAATCGAACAGAAGGAGCTGATCACTTTTTTCTGGTTCCGCATGACTTTGGAGCATGCTTCCATTATCAAGTAAGCAACTCTTTTTTCTTCTATTCTTGTCTTTCACCAACACTTAACTAACCTATGTGTTTTGGAGGACATATTTCGATATAGTTGGCCTGACTTTCAGGATATACCTAAATGTTCATATATTCTATTAGAGATTACTGCTCTATAATCTCTATTTGGTGGTCCCTTATTCTCACTTGGTTCTCCAGGAAGAAAAAGCTATTGAGAGAGGAATTCTTACCCTGCTCCAACGTGCTACATTGGTTCAAACTTTTGGACAACGGAATCATGTTTGCTTGAAAGAGGGCTCAATCACAATTCCTCCTTATGCCCCCCCACAAAAAATGCAAACTCATTTGATTCCTGAAAAAACTCCAAGGTCTATCTTTGTTTATTTCAGGGGATTGTTTTATGATGTGGGGAATGACCCTGAAGGCGGGTACTACGCAAGGTATCTTTCATTAATCTTTAATTTTAGAGCAGGCTTTCAAAGTCTTTTTAAGAGACTTCTGCATTTAAAACTTGAATATTTTGTTGTCATATGGAAAGAAAGAGGAGTCATGAAAAATAGAAAAAAGAAAATAGAGTTTCGAAATATGTTGGTGACTGTGTATTATCTTCAATTCCCCATAAGCTATCAGTTTTTAATGAAACGGTCAAAATGGATTTTTCCTCTATACCATACAAAGGACAAAGGATTTTCGGTTCGTCTGTTTTTATGATACTACTGAAAATTAATCCTGTCAAGAGATTACCGAATATAATACAAATTTGCAATTCTGCAGAGGTGCGCGTGCAGCAGTGTGGGAGAACTTTAAGGATAATCCACTTTTTGACATTTCCACTGAGCACCCAACCACTTACTATGAGGACATGCAGCGGGCTGTCTTCTGCTTGTGTCCACTTGGCTGGGCTCCCTGGAGTCCAAGATTGGTTGAAGCTGTGATATTTGGGTGCATCCCAGTTATCATTGCCGATGACATTGTACTGCCATTTGCCGATGCAATCCCATGGGAAGAAATTGGAGTATTTGTGGATGAGAAGGACGTTCCCAACCTGGACACCATACTGACATCAATCCCGCCAGAAGTAATATTGAGGAAACAAAGATTGCTTGCGAACCCCTCAATGAAGCAGGCAATGTTATTCCCCCAACCTGCTCAGCCAGGAGATGCTTTTCATCAGGTTCTAAATGGACTTGCACGTAAATTGCCGCATGACAAGAGTATCTATTTGAAGCCAGGTGAGAGGATCTTAAATTGGACAGCAGGCCCGGTTGGTGACTTGAAACCATGGTAACAACCATTATTCCTTTAAAAGAGTTTTCTGATATTCCTGCCTTCAGACCTTGTGAGGGGGGTCTGTTGAGGGTTACCATAGAAAATGTAAATCATGATTTTTGCCAACATGTATTAGACCATATATACAGAGCGTCTAGGGGTGGCTGTTTCTTGTATGTTATAGCTCAGGTTGTGTTAAGAATCTGTGTTGGATGTATTCATCGGGGATGGTTCATTAGTTATTGCTGGGTAGGGTGTCAAAGGAAATTTCATAATCTGTTTCCCTTGTAGTAGAGAAATGGAAAGGAGCAGTTGGATCTGATGTTGTTGTTGAGCAATTCAATGAAGAGGTTGTGGTTGACTTTTTAAGGTTGTTTTCTCTAATCTCATTTAACAGATTTTAAGAGGGATACAAAAAGCACACTGCGTTTCGGATGAATTTTTAATCTTTCAACTTGCTTATTCAATTCAGAAAATCGGATTTATGTTCTAATTTTGTATTGATTTCTCTTAAAAAAGAAAAATCATTTATAGTCTGAATAAAACAGAAAATTTGTAAAATTTATTTATAAATAAATACTTTGTTCAATTTGATGATAATAAAATTCTATACCGAGTTGAATTAATCTCAATTTTATTGATTATCTTAATTTTATACTATGTCAATTTTTATTTATATTTATATTTTCAATAACAAAAATTCACAAATAAATTCTACAGAATTTTTAAGTTAATAAATTTATAAATAATTACATAAATTTTGCTCGATTAGTCTACTTTATTTAGAAGCAGACCGACTTTTTTTTTTGGGTATAGTCAGAACGGTATTATTTTGAAATTTTAGTTTGACAAAAAATAATCAACGTTAAACAAATTATTTAACAACTCAATAATTATTTATTTAAGAATTAATCGAATTTTATAATCGAATACCTTTAAATAAATTGTATCGAAAGACTATTCCTTCCCAGCTTATCTTCTTTGAATTCTAACAATTAATAAACATTTTACAGTAACAATCAATAAAATAGTCTACTAATTTAAATATTTTTTTATATTATTTAAAAATTATAAGTTTAAATATTATTAAATATATAAAATTTATCACTTTTTAAATATATTATGAACTAATAAGAATTAATTTTGAAAAGACATAAAACTTAACTCATTAATATAACAGTTGAGTTATGAGTAATGTATTTACACTACAAATTAAAAAAAAAAAATTATGTTATAGTTACTGTAACGCCCCGTTTTTTTTTTCTTAATGGCGTAAGCTAAGATAATTTCATGGCCACATATGAACGCGTCATTCCAAATCTGCCACAAACATAGAAACCTTACCGCAATCTATTATTCAAAGTCATAATAAACCTGTAACCCTACATGTAATATCACAGTAAAAAATAATCTCACAGACTCCCAGCAGACACACTATCTACCCTACTACTAGTTATTACACACTCAATCATGCCAAATAACGAAAACATTATTGTCATGTTCCTCTATCCACTAGACTCAGAAATCAGCAACTTCGATCCCGACTCCATCCTTACTTCATCTGTAAATAATAAGGAGTGAGCATATATAACTCAGTACAGTAAAAATTAAGTTACAAGCATCATATACAACAATAGGGAACTCAAGGGTCCTACATGTACTCCACCTATTCAACCTAATACCTACCCTTGGTAATTTAAAAATTATGCATGTTAATTGTGACCGCCCCTCGACGTCCCATAACCATACAAATACTCTCTCCCGTCACCAGTATCAGCGATCACCAATAAACCGTCTATCTCCCGACCCCTAATAGGCCACACACATACACAAATACCATTCTCACCCGTCACCAGTATCAGCACTCACCAATAAACCGTCTATCTCTCGATCCCTAATAGTTTACACACGCACAGATTTCATTCTCACCCGTCACCAATATTGGCGACCACCAATAAATTGCCTATCCCTCGACCCCTAATAGGCCACACACACACATAAATATCATTCTCATTCGTCACCATTATCGGCGACCACCAATAAACCGCCTATCCCTCGACCCCTAATAGTCCATGCACACACCCAAATACCATTGTCTCCCGTCACCAATATCGGCGACCCCGTCGGAGTCTCCCGACCATCACCACCATCGACGATCAATTTACTTTTTCTAGGTAGCGACCACCAATATCGGCGTCCCCCAATGTTACCAACTCAAGGACCCTATCATCCCGTACTTGTTCCACCATGTTATCCTGAGGCTCTCCTATTCCTTTACCCAGTATACCAACTCAACACACATCTCCTCCTAGAACGCACACTAACATTTCACACACACGCCGGTAATGTTCCCTCGCCAACCATTACATTTACAGCAGCTATACCAACCTATATACAACCCACACCCTCACCCCACACAACTACCAACACACCCCTATCCTAATACCTTAAACCACACCTTATGGCCTCTCTTTCTTTCCCAAATTTCAGCATATACACTCTCTCTCTTCCATATGTACCTCTCCCTACGGTCATACCACACTTCTCTTCTTACCCCAATCTCTTCCCACACACCGAACTCATCCTTCTCCCTCATTCCTTAGTCCACTATAAGGACCCCCTGCAAAATCATGAACTCTTCTCTCTCTCACAGAACTCACACACCATTTTCCTTCTTCTTCTACCTCCCACGGCCTATTCAAAATATCACAACCCAAGCACTCACAATCATAACTCTCATCTCTCTAACAGAACACTCACCAACTTCCTTCTTCCTTATCTCTCCTCCCGCGGCCTGCTCCGTGCACCCCCCTCGCACACACACAACGTCACCTCACCCTCACGAATCTCACTCACTCACCGACCTTCTCGTTCACTCTCTCCTCCCACGGCCTTCACCATGTACTCACATTTATGTTACACAAAATAACTACACTCTCTCACGGATCTCTCCCACTCTCCAATCACACACTCACAAACACAACTCTCATCTCTCTCAAAGAACAGTCACCAGTTTCCTTCTTTCTTCTCTCTCCTCCCGCCTCCTCCTCTGTGCACCCCGCTCGTACACACACAATGTGTAGTGACTGAAGAAAAAAAAAATAATAATAATAATAAAAAGGGGGGGAACGACATCATTTTAAAAGGGGGGAAACGACGTCGTTTTGATGAGGCAGGTAAGGTATAAATAGGAGACGGGAAAGAAAAGAAAGAAAGAAAAAAAAAAGAAAAAAGAAAACAGAGAAGGGAGAGAGCGGGGAGGAGAAAGAAAGAGAAAAAAAGGTTCGAGAAAAAGAGAGAGGGGAGTCAGAGCGGAGAGGAACGAGAAGGGAAAGAGAAGAAGAAAGAGGACAGTGACAGTGCGATCAGCGGGAGGAAAGAATATGGAAATGAGAGGTACGGTAATTTTAAGTTTCTTGTTAGTTGATGTGGATTTGAAAATTTTTTGTAGGTGGAGGAGCTGTGTGAACGTGAATGGAGGCGTATGGAGGAGGTTAGACTGCAGAAGGAGAGAGAGAAAAAAAATGTGGTGTAGAAAAGAGGTCTGTGAGAGAGAGGTGAGGTCGTGCGTGAGAGAGGGCGTATGGAAGAGGTTAGGCCGTGGGAGGAGAGAAAGGAAGGAGTGCGGTGTGTGTGAGTGCGGTCTATGAGGGAGAGGAGTTGTTATGTGTGCGTGAGGGTGAATGGAGGAGGTTAGGCCGCGAGATGAGGAAAGAGAAGGAATCTGGAGTGTGTGAGTGTGATCTGTGAGGGAGATGAGCTATTGCGTGTGAGTGCGATTTGTGAGGGAGAGAAGCTGTTGTGTGTGAGTGAGGGCGTATGGAGGAGGCTAGGCCGCGGGAGGAGAGAAAGGAAGGAGTGCGGTGTGTGTGAGTGCGGTCTGTGAGGGAGAGGAGCTATTGTGTGTGAGTGAGGGCGTATGGAGGAGGCTAGGCCGCGGGACAAGGGAAATGAATATGTGTAGGGTCTGAGTGAGGTTCAAGAAAGGGAGGAGATGTTGTGTGATTACGAATGGAGGTTGGCAGAGGGGACCACGGAAGGAGAGTGAGGTGATTTCGGGATTTGAGGGTGGAGTATCTAGAGTAGGCCGTGGAAGGGGAGAGAATAAGAGAT